ACGATCCACACGAGCCGACCGCGACTTTCTGTTCGTGTACTGTTCATGGCCATCCTGAAGATTAGCCAGATCGCCATAAAATTATAAGCGTAAGTGCTCTACGTCAAACCTTTTGATCCGCTGCGCATAAGTTTACGTTTGCTATTGAATTCGTGATTTGTACATAACAAGATCCTCACAGATCCCAACAAGTGGTATCAGAGCACTTGGTTTATTTGTTTTGTACAAAGTTCGAATTTTTACGGCTTTATTTGACAAGATGTGTTCAAACGCAACCATATATTGGATTATATTTGCATAACCCAGTTTTGCAGGAAATAGTTAATCCACTATTTTGGCCGACTATGTGTTTAATGAATGTTGTTAAATGTGATGTATGGTTTTAAATTCGTTTTTAAAGCCTTGGGCATGTCGAGGAATTGATGGATGAATGTTTGTAATAGTTATTCGCTCGTGGGTTGACCGGATAGATTTAATTATTTGTTTAGAAAACATGTACATCTATGCATTGGATCTAGGATCGGATTATGTAATTTTGTAAATTATATTTTTCGTGTTGTGATAGTATGTTGATGAACGGGAGATCACAAGAGATCAACGAGCCTGGAAAAAAAAAAAAAGGGGATGACGCATTTTTCCGACCACCGGCGGCCGGGCGGCGGCCAAACGGTGACGACGGGGGCTGATCAAGGGTGGAGAGGTTTTTTGCTTGTTGTCCAAGCAGTACCATATCAACCAGGATTCTACTGCTAAAGGAGTTCCAGTTGAACAGGGAAAGAACTGTCACAGTTTTCTTGTTTAAGGAGACTAAATATTGAATGACCATACTAGTGGATTTATTTATTTAAATTCATTATGCTATTAATTATTTATTTATGCATATTAATTAATTATTGCTTATGCATGAGATTAATTAGGATTGTTAGAATAATTATGCATGTTAATTAATTATTGCTTCAACCTAGGATTAATTTAGAATTGCATGAGCAAATTGTGCATGTTAATTAATTATTGCTTTAGCATAGGATTAATTTAGAATTCCATGAATTATTGGGCATGATAATTAATTATTGCATTTGCAAAGGATTAATTTAGAATTGCATAAATATTTAAAAATCCTCATAAAATAATACTAAGTTTGAGAAGTGATTTTAAATTAAAGTTAATTGTAAAATTCCTAAGGCCTCCATTTCTAATTTGTCGGAAAATAAATTAATTGAAGTATTAGCTTCCCACGGATGACATCACTAAACTTAATTGTAGGAAATTACCAGGACGAATTTCAAAAATTAGATGGTTAGAGGAAATCTTAAGAGAGCGCACGGGCCTCCCCACGGGGGACGTGTAATCGATTTTAACGACCTCAGAATCGAGAAATTAGATTCACTTAGAATGCTATTTATTTATAAACTCCCCACGGGGTCCCTGAATTTATTGCATGGCCAAACGGAGACCGACTATTAATTTCGTTCGTCATGAATTTGGTTTTGACTTATGGAAATTAATGAGTTCTTGAAAAGCCCTTCTCTTACAAATGATGAGTATGTAGGGCGACCCATGTAGCATGAATTACTCACGAGGTATTAGAGATGTCGGTGAATTTAGTTAATATTGTTTTGAGGATATCAATATTAACAGTTAAATTCACATGTGTTTAATCTGTAAAATTTATTTGCACGATTCTCAGTATATTCATCATGTCGTTCAATCTGTTGTCTGTCATTCTAAAAGAAAATCAACTTACTGGTCCTAATTACATTGATTGGAAGAGGAACTTAGACATAGTGTTGACTGCTGAGGGTTTAAATTCGCTATCAATGAGGCTTGCCCGGCAGAGCCCGCGGCTGATGCTCCTGATCAGGAGAAAGGAGAGTATGCTCGGTGGAAGAAGGCTGATGAGATGGCGAAGTACTACATTATCGCTTCTATGTCGAATGTTCTTCAACATCAGCATCAGTCTATGCCCACTGCAGTAGATATACTGCTCAATCTCAGAAATCTGTCCGAACATCAGTCTAAGACTGCTATGCAAGAGGCTTTGAGTGCTCTGATTAGTACGCGCATGGCAGAGGGCACACCCGTAAGGGAGCACGCTCTCAGGGTTATGGCGCAACTCAATGAGCTTGAGGTCATGGGAGGTTTTATCGATGAGGAAATCCAGATTGATATTATGCTCCAGTCTCTGTCGAAGAGCTTTGATCAGTTCCGGTTGAACTACAACATGCACAAGATGCATATGGCTCTTCCAAAACTGCTTGCAGAGCTTCATTCGGCAGAAGCCTTATTCACTCAAGCTCCTCAGGTGCTAGTCGCCGAGCAGGCTGGACCTTCCAGGCCTTGCAAGGGCAGGAAGAGAAAGAAGTTTGCAGGAAAGACAAAGGCACATGATGCTCCGGTTGCCCCACGATCGGCCCCTCAGGCTGTGGCAAAGAAACCGAAAGAAAGATGCCACAAGTGCAACAAGTCAGGACACTGGAAGGTCGACTACCCTCTCTTCAAGAAAGCTAACTCTCTAATTAATGTCGTAGAAACATGTTTAGAAGTTGTATCTACCAGAACCTAGTGTGTACATACTGGAGCCACTGATTATGTCTGCAACTCTTTGCAGGGGTTCTAAGAAACCAAGCGGCTTAGAGAGGGAGAGATCACTGTCTACGTGGGCAATGCTACGAAAGTGGCGGCTGTTGCAGTGGGAGATGTTACTTTATCTTTCAATAGTAGTAGTTTGGTTTTGGGACATTGCCTTTATATTCTTAGTTTTAGAAAGAATCTTGTTTCGGTTTCTAAACTCGTTATGGATGGTTTTTCAGTTTTGTTTGATGACAATGTTATTATTTGTTTTTGGAAATCGTCTCATATGTTCAGGTTCATTAGTTGGAAATTTGTATGTTCCCAAACCAAACTATCCCACGGTGCAACAAAATGAATTGAATAATGTCATTACTAAGTCTAATAAGAGGAAGGAGTCTTCGCAGATGAATCAAGCATATCTGTGGCACCTTAGACTTGGGCACATCAACCTTAGGAGGATTTAAAAGTTAGTGGTCAGTGGATATCTCGTGTAACGCCCCACTTTTCATATCTTGAATTTCTTGAATAAATTTTTCTTTTTCTTAAAATCATTGTAAGCTCAAAGGCGCTACTACCTTTAAACTTGCAATTCATTAAAACTCGACTTGCATTACATAAGACATATAGCATTCCATGGTGTTGCCTCGAAGACTTACATATAAACTTGGCATAACATGAACTTTGCTTTAATCATTAACATGAACTTTATCATATATAAACATCTCATAAAATCGTGTTCTTTATATCGGAAGTGTAAAAGGAAACTTTATCATCTTGTAAACTTGATCACCCTTGCCATCACTCCAATGCCAGCTCGCCATTTACCTGGGTGTGGAAAACAAGTAGGGTGTGAGCATTTCCACTTACTCAGTGAGAAATCCTTCTAAGTTAACATCCTAACCAACTATCATGAATGAAATCGTTAGGCATACTCAGCATAATCATGAGCACCCGACGAGTGGTTGCCCCCAAATCGAAAGACTTTCTTAATTCTACAACCCTATTAGGCAACTAACCACTAGAGTCTTTGCATACACGTAAGTACACTCTCATCACACTCCCACCCCTCGTCAAACTCCTTATACCACTTTATGGTGGTGGGAGAACATTGCCTCTCACATATGGCACGGCCAATTAGGCTTGACGAGAGTACCACCCATGTGTTGAAGGGAGACAGCCCTCAACATAGGCTCCGTTTGGTCTTATTGACAGGGATAACCGTTCAAAGACTGCATCAATGAAGATTACATGTACGCACTTACACGCTCTAACCCTAGCACTTAGCCACCCTCTAGAGTTATAGTCCGTGAACCTTGGTACTTGCAACAAACGACTTGCTCGAATGTTGGAACCTTTTATAAACATGGGTACTATGCAAAATACTTAACTTCATTCAAAACATAGATAATCAAGAAGGATAAATAATGTAGAACTTCCCCCACCTTTTTGGAATGCTCGACTAGGCTTGACTTGGAAGAAAAGTTGCGAGGGCTCGACTCCCCGATAACTACATTCATTGGGGCAGGTCTTAGTGTCTTATCATGGCTCACCATAACTTATACTTATACATATACATAAACTTGAAAAAGTAGCTCACTTGGCTTCGCCTCGTTCGCATGCTTTGAAAACACTTCATGTTTAAAGTCTTAGGTTAGTTGATAGTTCAGCTTGCTTAATACTCTCTACTTATGACATTTAAGGTTCAGTTAAACTCTAAGTAACATTACATATATCAACTAGGCCAGATAAACATGCATTTCGATGGTAACTAGTAATTTCACAAATCGAGCATAAACTTATAAAAATTCAGCATGCACAGCGAACTTAAAACGAATGCAACTCTCAGCACACAAGTCATATGACGATGATTCAAGTTAGAAAGTAATCCTAAGTCATGCTCCTATAACTTTTATGAAGACAACTTTTGAAAACAGTGTCATTGGATCACTTATTTTTCAGCAAACATTCAAATCATGGCCGCAGTCCAAAACAGAAATAACTAATATATAGGGACTCAATAATTCTAGGATATCATGAGCTACAGACATGATTTTAATGTAATTCAAAACCACTGGATAGCTAACTCATAACTCTACAATTTTTCTGAAGACTAGTTTGGTATATAATGACATTATCACCGAGTTTAAACATCCAACATTCAGTACATGTAAACTGCCAGAGAAACAAGTTATATCACATACATCACCTCAGTAATTCTCAATTATCTCATGCTACCGACCTTATATTCATGCAAGTCCAACACCGACAGTCACTACACACATAAGGCTACAACTTTCATGTTGAACACTTTCATATTTGAGCACGTTTGATACACCTAAACAAGCCATATATTAAGTACCTGTGCACTGCCATAACTTCATAAAACTGGGTGTACAACTTACTTGCAAATATCATAATAAATCCATTTTAACTTCGATCTTAAAATTTCAAAAGCCTATAGAAAGCAAACAAAATATTCTATATTTCACATGAAGAACATAATTCCAAGGAACGGGTTGTTGGTCGCCAAAACAGACGCACAACTGAGGCACTGAAACCAGGATTTTCATGCAAAACTTATAGAGAACATCAACAATTTATCATCTAACTCATCCTGGCATCATAAACACATAACTCATCATTAAGCTAGCCTTATCATCAACCTTTTAGACTTAAACATCTTTTAAACTCATTAAATTGCCTAAGATCCAACTTGGTCTTTCATTAAACATTCAAAAACATTGAATCTTATCCAATTCACTTCATTATAACATATCTTTTAATCTTCTTAAGCATTAAACACATAAATCGGCTTTGGGACTTGAAGGGTTTACCGTTCTCGGGAAAAAGAATAGAAAAGGGCTTTTATAAATAATGGTAGGGTTTAAGAGTCTTGGAAATAAAATAGGAGTCTCATTAAGGATTCCTTTGCTTGGTGAGGAAAGGAAAAAAAAAAATACATGAAATTGGTTCTAGATGTTTCTCTCTTTTTCTTTCTCCATTTTCACGTGAATAATAAAAGGGTAGCCGATTTTCTGTACTCAATATATCTTAAATTATTACTTCTCCTCTTTAAATAATTAAGACATTAATCCATAAATTAAGTTTATGAATTAACATAACTTTAAATTAAAAAAATCAAAAAGATGAGGACATCTAAATAAATTTCTACTAATTGAATGAACAAGGACATCCACTTAATTATTCTCATGAAATAAAATGTCGAGCTTAATCATAAATAATATGAAATAATTGCATAAAAATGAATAGCAAGCGTCTGGGGCGCTACATCCTATCCACATTAAATATATTCCCGTCCTCGGGAATAAGATTACTCTAGTGTTCTCCAACTCCAAATAACTACGTATATCTTAATTGCTCCTGGCTTGACTCGCCTTTCGAACAAAACTCCTCTTCGGTCGGCTCGTGTTCCTCCTCAACGCTCTTAAAACGTCCTTTCTCCATTACGCTTCCGCTGCGCCACTCTATTAGTTCTGCAACTCAATGAAACACATTTGTCTTTATCGCCTTCTCTTCGCTGACTAACGACCTACTGCTGATACGGGGTCTTCGGTGGCACACACTCATGTGGGAGGACGAGCAAGCAACTGCGGCACGACTCGCTGCAACTCGACATGCATCATCGCGGCATGTTACGCGCGGCACACCAGCAACTCCCGCCCGGCAAGTGCGGCATGCCTATGCGCGGCACCTGCACGTGGTACACCTGTGACGTATGCGACGCCTGCAGTCACACATATGAGTTGTACCTACGTTACCTGCTTCAACCTCACTGCACTTGCGGCGCCAGACCGCGATCCGTACTAGACTCCATAATCTGCGCGAATTTTGGATTTACTAGCTCCTGTAAACTCTCCTCGATCACATCTTGCTTGCTCACTCTGGCTTCAGTTCCTCCTTCTCGGTGAACATATATGCTCGCGCTGGTCCTCCTCCTCCTATCCTCCTTTGAATCGACGGTGGCGGTTCTGCCTTCCATCGAGCTTCGGGCATTGGTAACTAACGCGTCTCGGCTTTTTGCTACGGTAATCAATATTTGGTCATGCTAGGCACTCTCCTCGGTATCCTCTCCCACAGTGGTTGCAGACTAGTGCTTGGCTACAGACAACTGTTGCAAAGGTTGTGGCTGTAGATCTTGGCAGCTATCCTCCCGCTTCCTTGGCGATTGTTGTAGCAAAAATTATTTTTAAATTACCGAGTACCGAATCGAAGGATTCGTTTCCCGGGTCGATCTTTCGAGGAAGGTGGTTCGGAATTTATCTTTGGTATCGATTACACCGAAAAAGCAAATAAATCCTAAAAATTCTAATCAGATAGGGGAGGAATTAACTATCAACTAACAAATAGCATAAAAAACATAAATCCTAAAATACCAACTAGATAATAATAAAGAAACTAGGGAATTGGGGATAATTTATTTAAGTTCGCAACGTAAAGCAAGGCAATTGATCATTCGGTTCAGAATTGACACTCTCGCCTAAACATCTAGCGTTTCGCTCCCAATAACTCTTCGTAACAAGGGATTGAACCTTGAAGAGCAAGTTCGAGGATACAATACCGGCCAATTATCCAATCCCAATAACTTTTCGTAACAAGGGAAAAGACACCGACAAACATTTATTTCAATCCAAAAGCCATAGATTATTCAGTTACAAAATCATCTATCTCATGCGAGCCTAGGTCTACGACTTCTCCCCTTTCAGTTCTAAAAGTCATTAATTCAATTAGAAGAGAATTAATCAACTAACCATTTAGAATCAACAAAAACCCTAACTCGACTAATCAACATTCAATCGTTTCCAATTGTAAGATCGAAGTGTCGCCCTTCGATTATCGCACAAGAACAAACAAATCAAGCCTGACAGATACAAATTAAACAAGAACAATCATCCCCTATCCCTAGCAATCAAAATTAGCTACGTAACCTGAATTGAACACAACCAAGCATTTCTCCCAAATTAACCATTCTCATGAATTAATTCAAAGAGGAAAAACTTACAATCAATCCATAGTAAAGTGTTGAATCTACTTACAAAGATTAATCCCTAAAATGGAGAAAAAAGAAAAATGAAGAAAAGAAGAAGAAGAAGAAGAAGAAGAAGAAGAAGAAGAAGAAGAAGAAGAAGAAGAAGAGAAGAAAAAAAATTGAGAGGAATGGAGAAGAAATGAGGTTTTGGTGTGAGAAATTCGGTAAAAAATATGTTCCCCCTCGATCCTAATGCCCATCTCTATTGAAAAGCTCGAGAAAAATGCACTTTTGCATAAAAAACAGACCCTAGTGCCGCTAAGGGGTCCTTAGCGCCACTAAGGCAGGTTAGCTGCTTGCCTCTGTCGTCGGTAAGGAAGCATAACGCCGCTAAGGAGGACTGGGTTGCGCGACTTTGCATTTTAGGCTCGTGTGGGCTCGTCCGAACTCGGAATTGAGTTCCGTTTTTTCTTAGGCATCACTAACGAACCCTTCTATTCAATGATGCTTACATGGCCAAATTATTCTTGAAATCATATTCTCCCAAAGCTCTTGACCAGCACACCAAAGACGTGTTTAACGCGACTTCGCGCGACGTTGCATTTTGGGCCCGTTCGGACTCGTCCAAGCTCAAAATTGAGTTCTGTTTCTTCGTATATGTCGCCAACGAACTACGCAACCATGATTGTCCGGTCAATTTTTGGAAAAAATCTCTTCCCCACGGGGCTTCCGACCAGCACACTAAAAACAAGATGAAAAATCGAAAAAACACACGAGAAACACATAGAAGACCAAAATAGAGTAAAACACATAATAAAATACAAAAACGACTAAAATCCAGCGAAAAGTGTTAGTGTTATATACTGAAAGCTTGACTTTGCATGTTATTACACATTTACCCTTTATGAATGAGAATCATGTTAGATTAAACAAGTTCTACGTTCTGTTGTTCTGCACTTAGATGGAGTGGGTCGTCATTGGGCGAACCGAAGATCACTCTATCAGTTACTTGCGAATAAGAATAGTTGTTCACAACCTAGATGGACATGAACACTCCATCCGAATGGTTGTAGTGTCAACTGTACAGTTTGTCTTGACTGATCAGTTGCACTAGTATATTTATGTATTGAACAGGATCCCAGAGAGGAGAAGTTCATTTTATACTGATCGTCGTAAATGAACTAGGCCTCGGTTAATTACTGCGTTCTCTTAACCCGTAAGATATTAAATAGGCATATATATATATAATATATATTACTTTGATGCACATGGGTGACGTTCAGTTCGTTGGATTAATATTCCTACTGTTTTGGGTAATATTATTATATATATGATGTGCTGTTAGGATATTTACGGTCACCATGTGCGTTAGTTTGATGATGTCCCCGGAGTGAGTTCATGAAGGATTGTTATGCTAAACCCTGCAGGTGGATTAAGTTCCGGCATAATAAGAATGTGATGAACGAGCGCTAGCTTCGGTGAAATAATAATAAATTAATTAATTCTTGATTGTCAGTAATTGAATTAATTAATGGACATTATATCTTAAACGTGAGGAGGTAAATCGAGTAATTATTATTGGAGTCTCAAATGTAATTTGTGCTAGGAAGAGGGAGTGCAATAATATAATGTTAGTGACCCATTAATATTATTTAATTAATTAGAGGAGTGGATTTGGCTCACAGTTAGTCTAATTAATTAAGCAGCCCTTTTCCTAATCTCCTTAGGGTCCCTACTGTAGCTCTATATATACATCATTAAGTTCATAAGAAGAGATCCCAATCTCAATATAACGTGAGACACGCCCCACGCCTCTTTCTCTGAATCTCATTCGAGTTTTTTCTTCTTCTTGTTGCTCCACTGGTACAAGTTGAAGAAGGGTGTATTGAGTAATACAGTAGAAGATCTGTAGGTAAACCGAGACAAAATATACTTTGACCTACAGAACTAACCGGAAGTCCGATTGAGACGTACAGTATACCCAGACGACCGTCTCGACGAGAGCTTTCCATCGCCGCCGACGTCGCCGAATTCCAACGCCGCACGCGTTCTCACACGCCGCCGGAAAGTGCCTGGCAGCAATTTTCGTTTTCATCTGTTTGCATCCGTTTGATCCGGTTTTGATCTGATATTGTTCGCGCAACCCAAGACGTGATTTGCGGTCAACCATTCGTGTTCAACCAGATCTACATAAATTTTAAGCCGTAAGTTCTCTACGTCAAACCTTTAGATCCGCTGCATATAGGTTTACGTTTGCTATTGAATTCGTGATTTGTACATAACGAGATCCTCACAGATCCCAACAAGTGGTATCAGAGAATTTGGTTAATTCGTTTTGTACAAAGTTCAAATTTTTATGGCTTTATTTGACAAGATGTGTTCAAACGCAGCCATATATTGGATTATATTTGCATAACTCGGTTTTGCAGGAAAATAGTTAATCCACTATTATGGTCGACTATGTGTTTGATGAATGTTGTTGAATGTGATGTATGTTTTTAAATTTGTTTTTAAAGCCTCGGGCATGTCGAGGAATTTATGGATGAATGTTTGTAATAATTATTCGCCCGGGGGTTGACCGAATAGATTTAATTATTTGTTTAGAAAACATGTACATCCATTTGTTGGATCTAGGATCGAATTATGTAATTTTGTAAATTATATTTTTCGTGTTGTGATCGTGTGTTGATGACCGGGAGATCACAAGAGATCAACGAGCCTCGAAAAAAAAAAAAGAAAAAACGGTGGCTTTTTCCGGCGAACTAGCAGGCGGCGACCGGTGGCCGGCGGCGGCGGACTGGTGGCGGCAGCTGGTGGTTCGTTTTTGCCTTGATGATCAAGCAGTACAAGATCAACCAGGATTCTACTGCTTAAAGGAGTTCCAGTTGAACAGGGAAAGGACTGTCACAGTTTCCTTGTTTAAGGAGACTCAATATTTAATGGCCATAATAGTGGATTTATTTATTCATTTATTTAAATTTATTATGCCATTAAATTATTATATATGCATGTTAAATAATTATGTTTTTGCATGAAATTAATTTAATATTGCAAGATTAATTATGCATGTTAATTAATTATGTAATGCATAGGATTAATTTAGAATTGTGTCAATAAATTATGCATGTAATTAATTATGTTCTAGCATGGATTAATTTAGAATTGCATAAATTATTGTACATGTTAATTAATTATTGCATTGACATAGATTAATTTAGAATTGCATGAATTAATATGCATGTTAATTAATTATTGCATTAACATAGATTAATTTGGAATTGTATAAATAGTTAAAAATCCTCATTAAAATTATACTAAGTTTGAGAAGGGATTTTAAATTAAAGTTAATTATAAAATTCCTAAGGCCTCCATTTCTAATTTGTCAGTAAATCAATTAATTGCGGTTATGGGCTCCCCCTCGGGTGACATTGCTAAATTTAATTGTAGAAAATTACCAGGACAAATTTCTAAAAGTAGACGGTTAAAGGAAATCTTATGAGAGCGTACGGGCTTCCCCTCGGATGACGTATAATCAAATTTGACGACCTTAGGACCGAGAAATGGGATTCACTTAGAATGCGATTAAATTTATTAACCCCCCTCGGGGTCCCTGAATTCTATTGCATGGCCAAATGGAGACCGACTATTAATTTCGTTCGTCATGAATTTGGTTTTGACTTATGGAAATTAATGGGCCTTAGAAAAGCCCTTCTCTTACAAAATGCGAGTTTGTAGGGCGACCCTCGTAGCATGCATTCTCACAAGGTGTAATAGATGTCGGTGGATTTAAGTTAATGTTGTTTTGAGGATATCAATATTAACAGTTAAATTCAAAAGTGTTTAATCTGTAAAATTTATTTGCATGATTCTCAGGATATTCATCATGTCGTTCAATCCGTTGTCTGTCATTCTAAAAGAAAATCAGCTTACTGTTCCTAATTACATTGATTGGAAGAGGAACTTAGACATAGTGTTGACTGCTGAGGGTTATAAGTTTGCTATCACTGATGCTT